TGGAGGGACGGCGCAGGAGAGGAAGGCCCTCTATGAGGTGGATTGATTCAGTGACTGGGATAACTGGGATGGGAGTGTCGGAGTCAGTGCAATTGGCACAGGCCAGAGCGAAGTTTAGGGCTGTTGTACATAGAGTCACTATGAGTCGCAGGTGACTCGACGGCACATTAACAACAACACAAGAACATATTCCTTTTAAACAGTTCTCTCCCTCCTCTATTTCAATGCAGTATGCATTATTTATTCCCTCTTTCTCAGTCTACCTCCAACCCCTATGTCAGTCCCATGTTACAACAGTGGCACTATGCAGTATTTGCCCTTTCTGTGACTTAGCTATTTCACTCAGCATAATGTCCTCCAGAATCACCCATTTTGTATAATATTTTATGAGCTCTTTGTTTCTCATTATGTGGCTATACCACAGCTTCTCTATCCATTCATTTGTTGATGGGCACTTAAGATTGTTCCCAATTATTTGCTATTGTGAACAAAGCCTCGATAAACACAGATGTGCGTTGGAGCTGATTCTTGATGGCAACTACCACAGAAGTAAGGAACCGTACTGATGCTAAGCCATCCCGGCAAAACCCACAAAGGTGAGACCCCAAAAAGGCTGAATCCTAACTGAAATAACAGGTAAAAAATGTCACGCACATGTGATCGCTCAATAAATGCGGGCTGTTACTACCACCATAGCTACTGCCGTGTTACTGTACAAAGCTATAGCGTGACCCTTGAGGAGTTTGCAGCGAACATTTTATCTCCATAACTGGCATTATCCGGTTTGCAACGTCAGACCCGAGGCGTGCAGCAAAAGACTTTACAGAGCAGGAAAGGAATCGCGGGGCGCTTTCTGGAAGCGGAGATTTAAGAATCCAGGTCGAACCTACCTGCACCCTCGCCCCACTTCAATCCCACTCACTCCGACCTCCTTCTCACTTCACAGCGTCGCGAATGTGTCCCGGAAAATAAGCCACTTCCGGCGGAGCACCATAGAAACGCGGCTGGAAGGACAGAGAGGCGCCGAAAACCGGAAGTGACGCAAGGAAGTGGGTTACATAGAAGTTGTGAGACGGCGAGCGCCTATTGCCGGCTGCACCTGATTGGCGGAGAGGCGGGGCGGTGGCGTAGAGACGGGACGGTGGCGGAGAGGCGGGACCGCTGCTCTTGAACGGCTGGGTGGCTCTCAGCACTACCCTAAGACTGGAAACTGAGGCCATAAAGGCTAGAACGTCGGTGTGCTCTTAGCGCTTGGACAGTGATGTTCAGAAAGTACCGTCCAGTCGACTACGGCTCAGCGCTGTGAACAGTTGATCTGAGCCCTGCCCTATACTTTGCCATCATCATCATCATCTTTGACACACTCGTTATGCGCTGTCACTCCATCTCTTTGAGGGTCTTCCATGCTTGAACATTGTCAACTGTCTTCGGCACCAAAAAGTGGTGCCTACAATCTAGTGTTTTTCGATTATTTTAGTAGATAAAAGTTCCGTGTAAACGTATTTTGTTATATTCACCACCCCAAGATACATAGTGAGGATATGTATTTTACAGTTGTTTCCCTCTGTTGTTGTTGTGTACTATGGAGCCAGAACTGACCAGAGCTGACCGTCCAGGGAGTTTTCAGAGACGATCACACTGGAGAGATTGTCCAACCTTCTGCGGAGCAGCTGGTGGTCTCGAGCCATGTGCCTTCAAGATTGCAGCGCAGCTTCTTGCCACTAGGCCACCACCAGAGTTACAAATGTTTATAATGTTAAGTGCCATCCTCTCAACTTCGACTCAAAGCGATCCCATGAACAATAAATCGTTCCTATCCTACATCATCCTCAAGATCTCTGATAATAAGCTCTTGTCAACTGTTACCGCCACCTTAAACAAGACTGATTGACATGTCAGTCCTCTAACTCTCCGCCTTTCCCACATGTCATTTTCCAAGGACAGGCCCTACCTAATTAATGACATGCCTAAAGTAGCAGAGGCAGTTTCCTTGCCTATAGAAAGCACTGTGGTCGCACTTCCTCCAAAACAAACATGTTTGTCCTTTTGTCAGTCCACGGGCTACTCAGCACTCTTCTCCAACACCACAACTCAGAGACATCGATTCTTCTGTCATCCTTATTCACTGTTCAATTTTCAGATGCATAGCAAGTAACTGAAAAGATCATGGCTTGGATCAGGTGAACCTTAGTCTTAAGACTGACATTGCTCTTTAACACTCTGGAGAGGTCCTTGACAGATTTTCCCAGTGCAATCCTACTTTTTTTATTTCATGACTGCTGGTATCAGGGTGTTGATTTTGGATTTCAGTAAAATGAAATTAATTGGTGACATTTATGTTTTCCTCCATCTATCATAATGTTGCTTATTGATTCAGTTGTAAGGATTTTTGTCCTCTTCATTTTTACATAATCCATATTGAAGGCTATAGTCTTTGATCTTCTGCAGTTTCATGTCTTCACTTTTTTTTCATGTCTTCACTTTTAAGCAGCAGGGTTGTACCATCTGCAGGACACAGGTTGCTGATGTGTCCTCCTCCAATCCTGATACTACATTCTTTTTTCATATAGCCCAGCTTATTGAATAACTTGCTCAGCATACAGACTGAATATATATGGAGAAAGAATACAACCCTGACATATGCCTTTCTTGATCTTAAACTATGAAAAATTGTTGTTACTAGTCTCTCCATTTTTAGGGCTAATTTTCCTAGCGTTCTATAACAGCTTCAAGTGATTCCTAGCCCAGGTATGAAATGTACAGACAGCAGTTAAGGATATTTGATGTAAATCCACTCAACTGGAACTAGAAACACCTGTGTCCTAAATCCCTAGGTTTATAAAGTCAGTTATTTCTACTCCTGAGTAAGGCAGAGATACCCTCCCTGAGAGTGGCTCAAGGTACACAAAGCCCTGGCGTGGGAGGAAGAGACAGACTACCTACCTTGTGAGGTATCTAGTGGATACTGGTTCACCCTACCTTGCCGGGGGCATGTGCAGATGAAGAAAAACACCAGGATTGACAGTAAGTATTTAATTGGTTCCATCAACAACTCTAGCAATTTTTCTGGTAGGCAGAATCAAGCTATCAAGGGGTTCAAGAGGTATGTGGTTCATGGAGGAGGCCTCCAGAGTTACTGACCCTACTCCACAAAGCAGGTGGCCCAGCAGAATTAGGACTGGGCTAATGGAATGTGGAGAAAGAATGTAGGTAGCTTTGTCCCTTTGTGTGGACGAGACTGTTCCTGCACAGAAAGAATAAAAGGATGCATTTGCGTTCTCAGCCCCATTACTTTTTTTTTTCTCTCCAGCCCCATTACTTTTTATCGTTAAGTGCTGTCAACTTATCCCCAACTCACCCCAGGCACAACAGAAGGAATCCTTGCCTGATTCTGCAATCCTTAAGCCCACTACTGGAGTCACTGTCAATGCATCTGGTTGAGGATCTTCCTTTCTTTTAGGTGATACTATAGCCTTTTCTAAACATGGTGTCCTTCTCCAGTCACTGGTCCTTCATGATAGCATGCTCCAAAGTATTACTTGTTATTGTTAGGTGCCTCTGAGTATGATTCATAGACACCCTGTAAACCCTATCCTATCCTGCACCATCCTCACAATCTTTGACACACTCAAACCCATTGCCATAGCCACTCTGCCAATCCACCTGGTTCAGTCTTCCTCTCCTTCACTATCCCTCTACCTTTGCAAGCATGATGCCCCTCTCTAAGGAAAAGCCTCTCTTAGTAACATGCCCAAAGTATGTGAGACAAAGCTTTATCATCTTTGCCTCCAAGGAGCACTCTGGCTGCACATTCTTCAAGCCATGTCCTTAAGCTTCACTTAGGAAGAATCAGAAAGAAAAATCAATTTCTCTCTGTCTGGTATTAGAACCCATCCCCAAGTGTTCTTTCACCTTTTCTATCTTATCATCCTAAGTCTAGATTCTAAATTCTGCAAATCAAACCCACATCTATTTTCAAGGATCTCTGTCTCTTGCTCCTAAATATTTCCCAGTTGCTCCCTTCCCAACCCACCCGCAGAATGTCTTGACCTCCTTATCTGTGGCTATTAGTCTCTGAAAGTTCCAGTCAGAAGGGACTTGACTCTGATGGTCCAGTAAATAAATGGCCCAGTGGAGGCCAAGGAGCTCCTGAAGGCCTGGCGCAGGTCCAACCACCTTGCCACGGCACTTCTTCTTCTTTTTTTTTTTAAATTTTATTTTATTATTTTTGTATGCGTGTACTGTCAAATCAGATCTGACTGGTACAGGAGGAGATTGTCCCTCCTTCCCCGGCAGAGGATCTGGTGGATTCGAACCATGTGCCTCTGGGATTGGCCACGGCACTTCTTAACCACTTGACATACTACCTTTTGTGTAACTCAAGAGAAAGTGGAACTGGGGGCTTGAGCTGAGAAATCTTGGAAGATATGGGAAGATGTAAAAGATTGCATTTCTTTTGTCGTGAAATTAGAAAATGTTTCCAGCAGGAGGGGAAGTAGGGCAGGGATGGTGGGAAGGGTCCTAATAGAACTGAAAATCCTGGGACCCGGCCACCCTTCAATAACCCCCTGCCTGAGTTGAGCACCGCCCCCCTCTCCGTCAGACCACTCCAGATCTGAGAAGGAAAAAAAAATGACGGGAGCAGAGCTGGGGGCTCCTGTGTCCATGGCTCCTTCTCCATCAGGAAGAAGGAAGGAGGTGGAGGCAGGATCACTGGAGAGGTGAGATCTTCAAGGGAATCATGATCCGAGACTCCATGTGTCGAACCAAGGGCACTGCAGAGAAAGAGAGAGGGAGAGATACAAAGGTCATGGGGGGGACTGAGGTGAGCACCCACCTCCACTAACACGTGCAAGGGAGACAGTTTCAAATGGGGCAGAGCCAGGAACAGCTGTGCTGTGAGAAGGCTCACATGTGGACTAAAAGGGGACTTAGGTCGTAACAGAGTCCTGGGTGGTGCAAACATTGGAGAGTAGCCAGAAGCAACTTGGAAGAGAGTCCTCTTTCTAAACAATTGTCTCTTTCTGAAAAATCAGCCCCTGAAAACCTTACAGAACAGTTTTACTCTGGACACACAGGGAATCACCATTGAGTTGGAACTGACTCAAAAGCAACTGGTGATTTTTTGGGGTTTGGTTTGTTGTGGTTTTTTTTTTCAGATGGTCTCATTAGATGAGGAGCTCTGGTAGCCCAGTGGGTAGCAAGTTGTGCTGCCAGCTCAAAGGCAATCAACTGGTTCAAATCTATCAGTTATTTTGTGGGCGAAAGATGTGCAATCACCTCCTGTGTGATTTACAGCCTCTGAAAACCCAGCTATGAGTAGGTTGCAACTGGATGGGATTGGGTTGAGTTTCATTAGAATAAGAACAAGTAATAATGTTCTCATGATTTTGTATTATTTGCCCGGGTGTGTGATAAAAATCAGTAGTGTAGTGAAAAATGATTTCACAGATACTGAGAAAAAAATTTCAAAGATAAAAATTAAAAATAAGAGTAAAGAAAAATGGGAGCTCTGGTGGCCTAGTGGCAAGAAGCTGCAACTACAATCCCAGAGGTGCATGGTTCGAATCCACCAGATGCTCT